CAGCACAGCGAGAGAGAGAGAGGGGAGGGAATCGGTGGTTAAATCAGAGACAGAACCGACACCAAGACACCCAGATGAGGAAAAAAAAAAACCCAAACAGAAAAAGAGCCCGAGATAAGAGGAAGAAAAAAACATAACCAGAAGTGAGAGAAGGCGTCCACGGTGGTGTGATTTGTTGAAAATCACCACAACTGGAAAATCCTCCTAATTATTCTGCCATCATGACAATAATCACCTTTAAAATTATTTACACCTGTTTTTAAATCATCAATCACTTAAATAAAACAAGAAAACTTAGAAGCATTAAACTCTCCTGGGATAAATCAGCAGATAAAAACAAAACAAAACAAACAAACAAAAAAACAGGCAATAAAACCAGCTGGCTAACACGTCTCCATTGATTAATCTGATCCCTTTGAGTTTGTACTGCAGAGTTTGGCGAGCGTATGGCAGTGCATTGCCGTAATCTCAGGGAGGACCACAGCCATGAGAGACGGCGGGGCGTCTGGTGTGCAGTAATGTTTAGGCCAGGGGTGGGGATCTCCAGGCCTGGAGGGCCGGTGTCCTGCAGGTTTTAGATCTCACCCTGGGTCAGCACACCTCAATCACATGATTAGGCGTCTGGAGAACTTCAAGACAAGTTGAGGAAGTCATTTAGCCATTTAAATCAGCTGTGTTGGATCAAGGACACATCTAAAACCTGCAGGACAGCGGCCCTCGAGGCCTGCAGTTTCTCCAGGCGGTGGTACATGTTCAAATAAGGACCACATGAAGAACAGGATGCAACGTTTCCCAGCAAAACATTCCTCTGTAGTGACAGGATCGCCGCTCCTCACGTCAGCTGTTTTCAGCGTTTCTGTTGTTATGGCTGATTGGTGTTTAGATTATAATATAGATCATGACGGTTTCACGAACTTGAACAAGTCTTGGTTGTGAACCCAGAATGACTGAAACCAGTTTCCCCTCCGGCTCTGCGATGACTAAAACACGACTACCTGCCGGCGTCCCTTTAAACGCCTGTTTCTGCAGAAACACGAGCAGAAAGGTTTCCCCGCTGAGGACAAACATTCCTGCTGATTGAACTCACAGAAAAGCTGCTTCCAAACAAAACACGCCCCCCGTCTCCCCCCCCTCCTCGCTCCGTCTGTCGGTCTAAACTTGGTAAACTCTGAGCAGCGGGAGAAGGCGACGGCGCAGACCACAGCACCCGAGGGAGACGCAGTCTGACCGCTGCCTCCGATTAACAGCCGACACGGCGTTTGACCTGCAGGAGAGTCACGATTGCAGGAAGGACTTCAGGTCGTTTCCTCCCACAAACCAGCAGAATGTTATACGAGCTTCCTCGAGATTAAAGGTTACTTTGCTCTCATTGATTATTAATGATCAGAATCAGGACGTAAAGGTCACGAGCAGAGTGAACTCACGGGCTTGGCGGCGTTTTTGTTCCCTGCTCCGTGTCCACGGTGCCGTT